CTAATAATTTTTATTTACTATTGGTACAGCAGTATGAATGTACATCATGTCAAAAAAAAAAAAAAAAAAGAAATGAAGATTATCTTTGCTCCAAAGAACTCTACCCTTTGAGCTCATGCTTCTTATGTGTATTTGTACTCCCAACCCTAGGAACTGAAGATGGAGAAGGCTGATGAGGTAAGGGCAACACCCAGCCATAGCCTGAGGATCAGGATGTGTGATGGGGCTGTTGCTGTTAGCATCCAAGCTGTAGGAAGCGAATGGTAATCCCGAGCAAGTGGATAGCAGAGCTGCTAGGAGCAGCTGGTGGCACAAGGCTGGCTAGAGGACAGATAAGAATTCTGAATCCCTTGTACCAAGGTGATGTTAGAAACTGGTGATTTGGACAAAAAGAGGAGAGACAACTTAGAAGATAATGGTCTTCTTCAGGTATGGGAGCAGGATGCTCTTCAGGAAGAGCAGCAGGATGGGGTACTCGTCCCTGCAGGATGCAAGGAAGGGTGACCAATTGTCATCATTGATCAAGAGGAAAAAAAAGGATTAATAATAGTTAAATTGGAGAACTGATAGGGGGAACCATGTAGGGCTAACCTTGTTTGGAAGGGTGGTTGTGTTGACTTTAATTATAAGATATTTGTGAGCCTCTAAATAGTACAGAGATTTCAGAGGACAGGCCTTGAGTCAAAGGCCATAGAAACAGCAGGAATCTTTCATAAACTTCACATGGCTACCGGTAGCAGCTTGATACAAAAAGCATCTGTCCTTAAAAGTTGACTTAAAAATTTAACACAGATAAGGAAAAAACAAAAACTTATTTTGGGTAAAAGGAAGGGACAGCTTATAATATGTTAGGTAGTAGACAAACTTGAAAAATACCAATTCTTGTCTTTGATTTCACAAGATCATGTGAGCTTTGAGGGCTGATGAAATGCTGCATATCTGATCTAGGTTGTTCAGTGTCCCAGTTTAGTTTCACAACCTTCTGCATCTTGTGTTATTTCACAATAGAGTCTAAGAGGCAAGAAGTGAGTGTGTAGTTTCTTCTTTCCTTGACTGTTAAGTCTTAAACTTTAGAAGGATGGGCAGTCATAATTCTACTCTGAGCTGCAACTTGCTGTGTTGTTCAGTAGTATATAAGAAATTTTTAAGGGGAATAATGACTTGGCTTAAATGGTAACGTTTGATTTTAATGCGCTTCACTTGATCATTTTCCTTCAGTGATTGGTATTTTGGGCATGGTTTTTGTGCTTCCCTCTAAGTGAGGGGATGCAATGTATGTTTCTTTTTGATGCTGCTCTTTATAAACATGAAGTCTTACACGAATATATTACAAATATCTATTTTAAAGAAATGAGTAAAGTCGTAGAGCATCTTTAGCAAATGATGGCATACAATCCTGTAAGTTTTATTTTGCTGTTCTGAATGTGTATGTTCCTCTAGCAAAATTAATGTTGATAGCACATCCACAGGTTGGGGCTGTCAGAAACCCTTAGGGTTAAATATGTGAAGCAGTATTAAAAAACAAGTTTGTTTTCTCAAGGCTAGATTGTGTAGAGAGATTTCTGCAGGTAAACCAGACAATCCAGTGAAAAGGAACTGAGAGGAAGTTGCACTTAAGAGTCTGCCTTGGCTCTGCAACTTGCATGTGTAGAACTACCTTTGTGCTGCAAATTTTTTCACGTAGAGTGAATGATGTTGAGGTTCTGTGAAAAGGGGAACTGAGCATTGTGCCCCTGAGAAAATATTAAACTAAAGAGGCTTTTTAATTCCAGGAGTTGGATATGTTTAACGTGGTTTGTTTGGGTTTTTTATCAGTCCGCTTCCTCATGTCAAAATTGCTTAAATTTCTTCAAAGAGAGTTGTAAATCTTGAGACACTGACAATTTTAAATGCTGTCACTGGAATGAATGTTTCTCCCCCCTTGCAGTGACTGTTGGGAAAGCTGTGGTTCAGTCAGATAAAGTGAATTATTTTAAAATTTTGAGTATTTGGTGCATCCTCAGAACTTTGCATTTTGTTCTGGTCTTTTTTACTGAGCTAATGAGCAAAATTAAGCTTTGTTAATTACACAGGATTGTAAGGAAGAAAACAAAAACCTGTGTCTGCTGTACTGAGTCTTACCTGTGTTGTTGAGAATGCTACTCTGAGATACAGAAGAAATAAAACGGTTGCTTTGTCTGCTTTCATTTTTAGTCCTGTCATTTAGTTGTTGACATCTGCTGTTTTGGCTAGCAAACAAGCCTTTGACTTCTACTTCCAAATGCATAGGTGGGCTTGTCACGAAGTGACACTTGTGTGAGTGGCATTCGACTGCAACCGCTGTTGGCCATCTAAACCAGAACACCAAACATTTTTTTAGTGCCCTGAATTTTAGATTGTGAACTGGCGTCCTCTTGTTGAACAGAAGCACTACTCGCTGGTATGCGCTGTAGCACCACGTGCTGCATGGTGGTGCTTACGGGGCAATGGCATTATGTAAAAGCAGAGTATTTAAGATCACTGGAATTGGTGATATTCCATCTTTTGGCACGCAGGACATCTGTCTTAGTGGTATCTGCCTTTAAAGAGGAAAAGCGCTCTCGGTCAGCCTGGCACCTAATCAGAATACGATTGCAACTTGTTTGATTGGGATTGGCAGATAATTCCCTTGCTTTCTGCTATATGGCCGCACACTAAATAGCAGTGCACAGAGTGATCAGAGTAACGGATTAGGTGTGTATGTTAAACTGTATGCATAGGGCTCTAATAAAGGCAATTTTTCTAGCTGTTGTACTTTCTTTGAGAAAATTTGTGTAAAAATGCAAGCCATGCCAGACTCGCAACTGACTGCTTGGCAATGGGAGGAAATGTCCTTCTTGGATGTTGTTACAGTTGTGTTGATGTGGTTTGCTGCTCAGTGAGAAGATCTATTACAAACCAACATAGGCAGTAGGATTTAGTTTAGAGAGCGGTTGTTGGTGTAATCCACGAAGCAATCATTTAAGCAAGTTGCAGGTTTCTTCACGGTGGCTTGCTAGTCCTTAGTTTTGCAAATTGGAGTTTTTCTTCAGTATAGGTTTATTGTTACCCTACCAAAAGTCAAATGTTCTGTGAGAAGGCTGGATTTGACTCACCCCAAGACAAGGAAAAAACCCAAACCACCAACCAGGTGATCTAGGTATAATGTTAGTTGGTAAATTCTGTCCAGAATGGGCAGAAAAGCATGTTTCAGTTAGCACAGTTCTATGCAGAGTAGGTGGGCCTGAGGATGTGTACGGAGCCTTTCTGTACAGATCCTGGTTTGTCCTTTACAACTCTTTATTTCATGCTTACACTGGAAAATTGTTTAAAGCTCGAGCTAGATATTTTAGGTGAAGAACCCTTCAAACTGGCCTTGAAAAACCAAGTCTTTTCTTAAACTAGGAGCTCAGGGATTCCTCTCATCTCAATATTTTATTGTCCTTAAAACTAGAAGCAAAACTGTTATGCTTGGTAAACACTGTACTCTGCACTTCATAGACTTTGTTTCCCCAGAGCTGTCCTTCCTTCTCTTAGAGAGGTGGTTCACAGTCCTGAACTTAGGACAAAGAGGAAGAGGGACAAGAAAACATTATCCTATTTGTTTATAAGCTTCTGCACAGAGGAACTTACTCTGAGGGCTTTTATCAGTGTCCTTTTAGAAATATGGCTGTGTTTGCACACATCTGTTTTGGTTTGCATTCAGTTCCCTGTAACTCTCATTACACAGAGTAGTGGACTGTTTCGTGTGTTTGAGGTTTGGGTTTGCCTCCTCTCTTCATGAAAAGTGGTGTATTTTTAATGAGTTTGGGGTTTGCTTTTTTTCTTTTCTATTTGAGTTTTAAGAGAGTGCATCTGTCTTTGCTCATCTGTTCTTTTGGGGTTTAGTAGCTGTGCAGATTTATACAAGTGACTTTGTGGGACGGCGGACTTTGTCAATCCAAGATTTGGGAATCTTGGGCAATCACAGTGCTTTCTACAACAGTTTAGTTATGCCTTATGGTGTAACACTGAGATCTAGTCTTCTGGAGTGAATTGCCTCCTTCTCCATCAAGACACTGAGGAGATTGATGCACATGTGGATTGTATAGAAATTAATTCCCTTTGAAATAGGGGATGGAGGGAGTCAGTGGTATCTTTGCACCACTAATACCTTCTTTCTTTTTAGGCAGTTCCTTGTAGCTGTGATAGATTCATGCGAGGTATCCATAGTGTCGTGCCATTAAAATGTTCAAAAACTTGTCATTTGAAAGGAAATGCCTCAAGGTTTTCAGTTTTTACGTATAACTCCTTCAACATCCTTGTGTTGGATGGTTTTTAATTAAACGCTCTGTCTTTGATTAAGAGCATTTATGTATATCTGTATATCAGATTATTGTACTAAATTGTGTAGAATACTTGTACTTTATGCCTAGTAACCAGTCAAAATGAGCTCTGTTTCAAGAGATATTTTTGTGTGAATAATATGTAAAGGACAAATAATATAGTGAGTGCCATGTCATACTGTAATGTACTGAGCTGCACCTGTCATGCTTCTCTCACTCAAAACCAAGAAAAGGTTGAGCAGTGTTGAAGTCTTGTCTTAAGGATTTAAAAATTATGTGAGAATTCAGTACACCTTGCTGTTTCCTTTCAATGCAAGCACTGAACTGAGGTACATAGGGGTGTAAGATTCCAGTGTCCTTTTTTTGTATTGTTTTTGTATGTCCTAAAACATGTATGCAAATACATAGGTTTCTTGTCTTCTGCCTGTATACAACTCGCGTGTCCAGCATTGCACTACCACTGACTCGCCCTTCCAGAATTCGGCACTGCGTAAGAAAACTGGTTAGATCCACTGTACTTGTGAAGAAACCCCCTGAAATAATGGGACACAGTGCATGAGCTGCTTGAACGGTCACTGCCTCAGAGAGCACACGGGTTGTAATTTTCCACCACAGTGTAAGCCTGTGCTTTGTGGGAATGTTAATGGTAAATCTGAGTTTTCTGGTTTTCTGTTTCAGTATGTATGACCAATTGCCCTACTCTGATTGTCATGGTGGGTCTCCCAGCAAGAGGAAAAACCTACATCTCGAAGAAGCTGACACGCTATTTGAATTGGATTGGAGTGCCTACAAAAGGTAATGGATTTACTTTTGTTTACATCAGGACAGGGCAGATGTTAGGTGTTTTATAAACCTAATTCCCAGTAATTATGTTGCCAAGTTTGACTACTTAAAATCCTTCTGCTTTGTTAACTTCTATTTAAGCAATACCATATGCAGGCTCTCTGTTCCATTTAGATGTTAATTAATCAAAATCTGATGACTGTTCATTTACCTCCTTGTTCTACCAGGTGCCTAAATCAACGTTTTGCTCTTGTTCCTTAACACTCTGGTTCTTTAGCTGTCCTTATTTTTTTTCTTTCCTTCTCATTTCTTTATGTGGTTGAAAGGGAATCTCATTTACAAGTGGACAAGCAGTCAGCACTTCTAGGCTGTATCAAAAGAAGCATGGCCAGCAAGTCGAGGGAGGTGGCTCTTGTGAGAGCTCCTCTCCCTCCTGCAGTGCTGTGTCCAGCTCTGGGGCCCCCAATATAAGAAGGACAAAGACCTGCTTGAGCAGGTCCAGAGGAGGCCACGAAGATGCTCAGGGGGCTGGAGCACCCCCCTGTGAGGACAGGCTGAGAGAGTTGGGGGTGTTCAGCCTGGAGAAGGGAAGGATCTGGGGAGACCTTATAGGGGCCTTCCAGTACTTAAAGGGGCTACAGGAAAGGGGGGAGGGACACTTTATCAGGGGTGTATGGATAGGACAAGGGGTAACAGTTTTAAATTGAAGGAGGGTAGATACAGGTAATAAATTCTCTACTGCGAGGGTGGTGAGAACGCTGGAAGATGTTGCCCAGAGATGTTGTGGATGCCCTGGCAGTGTTCAAGGCAGGTTGGACAGGGCTTTGAGCAACTTGGGCCACTGGAAATTGTCCCTGACTGTGGCAGGTGGGTTGGGACCTTCCAACCCAAACCATTCTATGGTTCTATGAAAGTTCTGACTTCTCCATCTTCTTAATTCTGTGAACCTTGTGCAACGCGTAGTTCTTTGTGTAACTTCGTTTAACTGCATTTGTGAAATGAGTTACAGCTATTTCTGTGAATATTAAGAACCTAAGGAACTGAAGCAGCCACTTGTTGCCACTTTCCTAAGGACTTTATATGTTTTGAGTGGGAAACGATGGCTCAGGCTATGCCAAGGACCTGGCTGTCCTACCTTAATCCCAAGCTCCTATGGTATCTTGTGGACCAGATCAAGAAGTAAACAAGAACTAATTCCATCTGAGGTTTTGAGCAGCCATCTTCCCTTCCTTCTTCTCTGTCTCTGTAGAAGAAAAAGTAAAGTTTGTGTTCTGTGATTCTGTGTCTGGTGCAGTAATGGTAGCTTTATAGTTACGGCTAGTTAATCATTTAAACAACATTAAACATTTGATCATAGTAAAGTGTAGACTTTGGCTGGATGTTCAGAGATGTATTTCCTAGTAGCTCTAGGTGTACATCTAAAATCTCCTTTGATTCTAGGACATAGAATCTAGGATATAGGACTTTTTGAGTTGGTATGTTAAGCCCTTAGAAACTTGTCTAATGCACTTTATTTAGATGAGATGTTATGGAGGATGTGTTATATTGACTATGAGAGTTTACAGGATTTAAATGATTACTTAAGTTTTGACTGTTTTCGCATAGTATAACCCTTCTGATAAGCCGTATCATATTTACGGACTTCATAATTCATTAGGCTGAAATGGGATAACAATCTTAATAGGTTAGCCTATATGCAAGCTGATAAAATGCATGTGATGTAACTATGCTTGTATGTTAGAGACACATCTAACATACATTTATGTAGCTATATTATGTATGTCACTGTGTTGAACATTTTTCTATGGGAACTTTGAAAAGCCGAAATCCAGTGTTGATCAACAAACAAGATACTGTCCACATCTGGATCATGCTTGGTTGACTATATCCCAAATACAGTAAAATAAATAGGGGTGGTCTGCTTCAGTTATAGGAAAAGTTCTATGGGCCTACTGTGAGCAGCACATCAGAAAATATATGCACTTGTGCTTAATAAAAAATAGTTAGAGCATTGCTGCCTGGTTTTACGAAAATATGGTAACTTTATGTTGCATATGAGCTTCCATCATAGGTTGCTGTTTATGGTTTGTCTTTGTTAGAAAGAGTGACTTTGGATTTTTTTTGAAAACCACAGATCCTTCCTGTTGTGTCATCAGTAATGCAATTTTACTGAAGCTGAAATCAATTTAAAAAAACCTCACTGACTGAGGGAATAGATGACATGTTGTCTAATGCTTCCAATTGATTGGGACTGAATCGATACATGATAAGTATCAAATGTCCCTAACGCTATTACCCTTTGGCTTTTAATGTCTTAAAATTAGTGTGTGCTTAATATAGTAAGTGTTCTTGTTCCCTAAGACAGATGATTAAAATTATGAGGTTATGTAAACCAGAGAAAAGATAAATGCTGTGACTTCATGTAGCAAGCTGGAGAGTTCAAGAACAGAAGGTGGAGATAAATAGCCCAAGGTTCATGTTAGTAGAATCATTTCAGCCATCAGTTCTGTGTTGTTTTCTTTTATTCCTTTCCAAATCCTCTGTCATTTAGAATGTGACATGGTTAAAAATACAAAGGACTTTTGTTTGGGCTTTTTGAAGGAAATGAGGTCAATTAGATGCCTGAATAGAGTTGTGTTGCAATGTGTATTTTAGATACTAAACTTTGGGACACTTTTGGAATAGTTCTGGCTGTGTGGTAGTTGTGATATCAGTTAGCTTTGTGAAACTTTTCCACAGGGGTGGATGCTAAAGATTGTTCTACTAGCTAGCACTTTGCCTTTACTGTGCATGACTCTATTGCAGTAACTAGTCTTTCTTATGAAATTCATTATTTTTCATTTTTAAAGGTCAACACTGGTCATCTGAACTTCTTGCATCTTCTGTTTTTCTTACAAGGAGCCATCTTTTCATGTAGCCACTAATGGCCAGTGCTCACTAAACCTGTCACAGAATAACCTGGATTGGACTATTAATCCGTGTCATACAGTTGACCACAAAAAAATTTACAACGTTGTCAAATTCAAACAAAATTTGACTTTTGGGGGGGATAAACAATATTTGCTTACTTATCCTCTGCCCCAATCCCAACAGCAGTCTATATACAGCAGCTGATGGTTGAGCTCTTTTATCCTATGTCTTTTTTTCTTAGTTACAACACAGCAATTGCGTCTGTTACTTCTCTTCCTCTTTCCAGAAATGAAGTCTGGCAAGTAGTTATACCATGGCCCTTTCTCAAACAGAATACTTCAGTTTGATCTAATGTTTTTAAAAAAGTGCTTTGCAGTTCAGCATAGATAACTTATAGGTCAGAAACAAGTTAACTATTAATTGCACTTCAGAGACCTACTTTCAGAGCTGTCGAATGAACTTAATTAGGGTACACTGTCATTGCCTGATGTGTGGCAAAACAGAACAGCCTTGCCTAATCCCATATCCAATATTGTGACACGTGTACGGCCATAGACTTTATGGACCTTTGCCCAGATAAGGAATAGTTTTCTTTGACCACTGTTACGAGATCACAGTAAGATGACGTTCAGTACTTATGCTGATTTTTTTTTTTTTTTTTAATGTGTTGTTTGGTCTTTTTTTGTTGCTTTTTACAATTCAAGCATTTTTTAAAAATAAATGGAACAGGGGTTGTGACATTGTGTGTTCTGATCCTTAAGGAATAGAAATATTTGAGCACAGTTCTGAAAAAATATTTCCACAGCTTGAATTTTAAGTTTCTGTTTCTCAGAAGCATGGTTGGATAGTTCTGTTTAGAACTTTTCCTTGCTCAAATAAGAGCTGAAAATCTTGGGAGCTGTTATCAGAATACTGTTTTACTGTACTGTACACAGAAGAAAAAAGCTAGATTGTTAGCAGTTTTTTGTAGACTACTGAAATAGACTTTGAACCACCCCTGTGAAGGAGGAAAAAAGTTTCTTTTTGTTGTTCAGGCAAACTGGCAGACAGAGGCACAGCAGTATGGCCAGGTGACTCCACTGAAGCTACCTACAGACCAAATTTCTTTTGCCAGCTCTGTGATTTGTTGTTGTCTTTGCATTTAAAACAAACAACCCTGTTCCCCCGCAAAACCCAGGAATCAGTATGATATGTTGACTTTGTACATGCAAATCATTTTATCCTTGTAGGTAGTTTAGTTTCAAAGCTGTCGTAACTTTTGTCCTTCTATGTGAATATGGTTACTTCCCCACTAACACTGTTTTCTTCTTGGCAGAATTTAATGTTGGTCAGTATCGTCGAGACTTGGTGAAAAAGTATAAATCTTTTGAATTCTTCCTGCCTGACAATGAAGAAGGCTTGAAAATCAGGAAGTAAGTTTTGAATCTGTTTGACTACACGTCAATTATATTAAAATGGTATCGTGTGTAATTTGCTCTTAGAGACTGCTTTAAGTTTCATTTTTGTATGCTCAAGAAGATCCTTAAGAGACTGCAGTATGAAATTGCAAGGAAAATAAATTCTAGCAAAGGTGAAAAAGTGATTTAGGCTGCTTAAAATTTGGGGTATTTTTTCTGAATTGCTTCATCTCAAGCATCAAAAATGCAGAGAAGGTAAATACTTGATTGCTTTTTACCTTTCAGTAGGCAGTGACTGCTGTTATTCTTGCAGCTACTCCAGGATTTTTTCACTCAAAAAAATCAGTTTTAACAAATTGTTACTATTTTTCTTACCTTTTTGTAAGGTATCAGATAATAGAAGTGACTTTCCTGCTGTCTAGCTCTTAAAATGCCATTTTAGAGCTTTGGTGTGTATCATAAAGAAGAAAAAAACTCCACATAATTGCTTTTTTTTTGGTCTGCATACTGGAATTTTTCATCTGGAGTACTTTGAACATATTTGTCATTATCCATTCAAATAAGTCGGAATGAAACACTACTATTCTCCCCCTAAAATTGTTCTTTCTGGCCACCATGCAGGTGCTTCATGCAGTCAATCAGTGCTCTACCTTGAAAATTGCCATGTTTTGCTAATGCTATGCAAAGCAAGGTGAGCATCTGGGCCCATATGAAACACTTGAGACTCCCCACTTGCCTGGAAAGAGGCTGTGCTTTAATGTAGAGGAAAGACCTTGAGAAGAAAGGGTAGATGAAGAGAAGGTCAGAGGAAGAGGGAGTTGCCTCTTTCTTACAGAAGATCAGATGGGAAGGTCTTTTGATTTTCTTGATCATTCATTGTCTTTTTTTAGTATGTTCAGAAAAATTTGAGTGTGCACTATGAAATGAGAAGGAACAGAAATTTTAGAGGAATGGAAATACAATTTGTGTAGGCTACTTTAAATACAGAGTGTTTTGTTCTTAAGTGCCTCAGCTCAAGCATCAAAAATGTCTGGACTTCCCTACTGTCTGGACTTTCTTTTGTGGCTGTCCCTCTGCTCGTCCCCTCTCTTCCCTTTCTCCTTCAGCAGCAATGAGTATTTCTAACATCAAAGGAGAACAACTTGCATAAGAACCTCCTAATCTTTTTGAACTGAAGAGCAGATATGAGGTGCATTAGCCTTGCAAGCCCCTACTTTTTCCTTAGAGGTAGAGCCAAACGTTTTAATGTGCCTCTGTATCACCTATTAGACTAAATGGTGGTGGATATAACATGAAGTGGGCTGTGTGAGCTAATCTGCCTAGTTAGCAATGACTAAAGAGGGTTTATATTGATTTAGTGAAGACTTGGCTGATGAATCACAGTTCCTGACTATTAACCATGCTAATGTGGAAATACTGGCAGGATTGAAATGCCTTTATTTTTCTTTTAAGTTAAAGCTATGAATGCAGAATATGGAAAATGCAAAAGAAGAGTTAACGCGTTTCAGTCTGGATGTCAAAACAGAGTAGTCATGCATAGAAAGGGACAGGTTATTATGTTGGTACTGCAAAAAGACTGTCCTTATTGGAAATAAATGGGGCTTTGTTCTACTAATGAGTAAATAGTGTACAGTGTTAAGGTTGCCCTCCAGTATTATTTATGTGTTAGAAATCATAATGGATTTGAAGATAATATTAATGCTGTGGAAATAGGAAAGTTGCAAATGAATTTTTTATTGACCAGATTTAAAACAAATGTAAAGTATGTAGGGGTGGGTTTTTTTGGTATTTGTGTCCTCATCAGTCTCCAGTATTATAATAATTACATTGGGTTGGTGACTACAGTGGAATGTTATGGTCACCTCTGTCCCTAATACTCCGTGCTAACTTTGTTTTACTCTCTGTTTTAACAGATCTTTTTTGACATAAGTGATTTTTACACAATAGTTAAAAGGATAAGTAGATTACTGAAAAATAGCTTAGTATCCACTTTAATTTAGGGCCACAAGATAAAAGCCTTAAGCTGATTTATTTTTTTCCCTCTTTGAGAATCAAAATAAGAAGCAAATATCTATGAACAGGTAATTGAGAAAAGAATACAGTTGCAGGGATGAGTCAGTGGTGTTACTTTAGGTCAGTGAAAGTTTATCCTGGTCACTGAAGTTGCTAAGTATTCTGTGGTGATGTATAGTTGTATCAGTTGCACAGAGGAGCACTGGACGGGTCTTTTTTTAGGCAGATGGCCATGACTGTTTTTCCTTAGTATAGCTTGGTTGACCTCTGTTGGTTTTTCCCATGTTTTGTGGAGAGGGGCTGATTGATTTTGTGAGAGATTATCTAACATTTACACAGGGCATTTTGATCACAATACACAAGTGCTTTAATAAAATAACTTAAACTGGCATTTTAGTTTTATTCTTTTTCATTTTTAAGACAATGTGCCTTAGCAGCGCTGAATGACGTTCGACAGTACCTCAGTGAAGAGAACGGGCATGTGGCTGTAAGTTTCTTGTTGAAGACACATTCTTGAGATGCTTCCCTACAAAACAGTGTGTGTCTGTTGGATAATATACAGCCTGAGTAATTCCAGTATCTCTTCAGTATATTGGACTTTTTTAGATGTTAGATCTGCCTTGTTGCTGCAGTGAAAGAAGCACTTAAGTCCAGGGTGATGATGCCATATTAAGCAACCACCTTTGTGATTTGAGGGGTTAACCCAGGAGAGGGGAACACTAAGAAAAATTTCCCCCTTCTCTCCAAATTATATAATGTACCGTTAAAAGCATCTGTTGTTTTGGTTGCACTTGTGCTTCTGTTTGATAGTCTAGTGTTTCAAGTGAGAAGTAGAGACTTACAGAACAAAAAACAGCCTGGGTATTGCCTGGCAGCCATGTTACTGATATGAGAAATCTCTGAAGAGAGCAGGAGAAACTCAAAGTAAATCTCTGCATATCTGAGTATTTAATAATGGGATGCAAAACATCAGCTGTTCAACTATTGACATTCCGTATTCACATAAATTTGCGTAACTTTTTTTCTTAAGACTACTCACACAACTCTGGTGTTTTCATAAACTAATTGGGGAAAACCATTAACTATAAGTTCTGCTGGGGACATGAGTTAAACTTTATACTTCAACAAACTTCATACTTCAGTAAAACACTAGTTTGTTCAGAGCTAAATGTAAGTTCGTAGAAAAATGGCTGCATATATCTTGTAATTCATGGGCTGGATTTGCAAGTCTTGCACATCTTCAGCCCTTTAAGAGTTTTACACTTGCGTTTTGAATAGTATATTGATTGAAGCATCTTTATTGTGTACTGTAACTTTACTAAAACCCTGTGCATTAGTATTTAATGCTGATACAGACCAGGAGGAAGATTCTGTCCTGTGTTATGTGTTAGGCTTAAATTCTGGTGGTGTCTCCCAAACAGAGTGTTATGCTAATAGTGCTTTCAAAATACTACTCTCTTAGTATTTAGAAAATCACATGTATAAAATAGGAATGTCTTTTGTATTCTTGTTAAGCATGTTTAAGTTGTCGGTTAGAGGGAAGGGGAAGTGTTTTCATTGCTTTCCTTCACATTGAGGGGCTTTGAACCCTTATTTTTGTTGTTACTAACACAGTGCTTTTCACAGGCTATGATGCCTTTTTAATTCCTCTCTCCCCCCTTTGTAATTATTCCCAGGTCTTTGATGCTACAAACACAACTCGAGAACGCAGAGAAACTATTTACAAATTTGGTGAAGAAAATGGATATAAGGTGAGTCAGAAGCAAAAGAGTTCTGCACTAATGCCTGGACAAGTAAGGCAGTGGTAGTTTTGCCCTTATCTGTACTCCAAATGAAGTGCACTAGCATAAGCCACAACCTTCCTAGATGTTTAGTCAATAATGCATTTTGCGTTCTCAAGAATTGTTTCTGATTAAGTCACCCAGTCCTCATTTTTACCATCTTTAATGTTTGTACTGCTTGGAGCTAATCCCTTATGTGCTGTGGCTTCAATTCTGTCACCCTGAGCCTGTAGTTCTGAGTGTACTGTCAGCAAGAGCTATTTAAAATACGGTTCTTGGTGCAGTTCAGATTTTTGCTGCAGAAACACATAGGGAATTCTGTTCTAGTTCTGTACAAACCAAAACCTTTCTGTGACTTTTTGCCTTCTGTCCAGGATTGTTCTGCATTTAGCTGTTCTCCAGTAATCCTTCATTTCCTCTAAACTTGCATCTTCATAGACCTTTGAGACAGCAAAACACAAACCTCTTTAAGTTAGGCTACTCCATTAGTGGAAAAGCTTCAGAAGTATTAGTTACTGTTTGTGTGCTGAACTTGCATCCTCTGCATTTATGTCTTCCACTTCCGTGCTAAATTTTTCTTCCTGCAAAATTTTTCCACTTGCAAGCATTGTTGGAGAAAAGAGTGTAGAGCATGATGCTTCAGGGAATGGCAAGTCAACAGTTCCTCATGAGAGGGTCTGGAGAAACCATCTGAGTAAATGGAGGGCAGACATGGCTCTCTTAAAAAAGGGTTAGCATGGAAGTAGGCAACATGCTGCCTGTGTGTGTTAATCTTTAGAGGCATTTTAACGCATCTTCCTTCTTCCTTCCTTCTGCACACCTGACTTCCCATTTGGACTGAAGACTTTTTTTGTTGAGTCAGTATGCGTAGATCCAGAGGTCATTGCTGCAAACATTGTGGTGAGTATAGGAAAGTTTGCTTTAACTGCTTTAAGTCAAGAAGTTTAAAGTAGCTCAGTATTTTTAGAAGTATGTTATAAGAACTTCCAATAGCAAAAAAAATTAACTCCCATTAATGGAACAGTTTTAATTTATTTTGCTGTCCATGTGTATATTAACTCAGAAGTTTAATTCTGTGAAGAATGGCTCTTTTTGCTTTACATGGATTTTAATAAACTTCCAGAAAATAAATTCTTGTGTAGCATTCCCTCCTGTTCCTATTTCTTTAAACTTTCATTAAAAAGAGAAAGAAACGTACATTACTACTTTGCTGTTTTTATTTTAAACAGCAAGTGAAGCTGGGTAGTCCTGACTATGTTGATTGTAGTAATGATGAAGCAACAGAAGACTTTATGAAAAGAATAGAGTGCTACAAGAATTCTTATGAGACATTAGATGAAACTCTTGACAAGTAAGTGAGAAAATAATACTGTGATCACAACTGGGTTATTTTATGATGTTTTCTTAGGGGATGGAGCATCCTGTATTGGGGATTAGGGCTTTCTAGTCATGTTTTAATGGTTTAAGCTCTCTTTCCTTTGGCAAATCAGAGAGAGTTACTCTGGGGGTGTAGCCTGGAAACTTGCTTGCTTGAGGAAAGTAGGCTAATGAGTACTCTGGGACAATATTCTTTTTGATTTTCCCACTTGGAGAATGGTATGATTCTTCAGTGCTAGAACCAGCGTTTAGAAATTATTCCAGACTTCCTGTAGTGGTTGGTTGTTACTTGTTCTTTTTAGTAGGTAGAGGAGACCCAAGGGATTTGTAACTGTGACTTAATTTATTTGTGTGGCTAAGATGAATTTGAACACATCAGTCTTAAAAATGTGACTTCTAAATTTATTTATTTGTGTTTGCAAATTATCCTACAGATGCAGGGCTGTGAGAAACTCTCTTAGCTAGATTATTTGCCCTCATGCCAAAGCATTCATCTGTTTTTCATTCACTTTCAACACTTGAAAGTAAGGTAGAGATGAACCATGTGGAGAGGAGCCCTGTTTTTCTTGCTATAGTCCAGGATTTCAGTGTGAGATTTTGAGCTGCACTCATGCCAGGTGCTCCTGGTTTGTCTCAGGACCTGTGCTGTAAGGAAGGCTGAGCTGCTTTTTAATGCAATTGAGTGTAAGCATTGTGAAGCTGCTTCAGTCAGATCAGTTCATGCATGTAATTTCTGTGATGGACCTAATGGTTGTGCCTGGGTAATGATTAAATCCAAAGAACACTATCAGAGATGAGGTGATGATGCTTGCTTCTCATCACCTCCATTTGGTTTTGTTATAAGTTTTCTTGTTTTATTGTGGTGTGATGTCTCAAAAACCAATAGTGAAACCAACAGTGGTTATTTTCGGCTTATTAGACTTTTTTTCCTCCTTTAAACTAGATGCTACTCTGAAATTATAGCTCAGATGAGACAGGATAAGCACTGAAAATTGAAATTATAACCTGTCTGATGCTGAGATAAGGTAGCAATGGGGAAAATTACAGTACTGTTAATAAATAGTTGTTGAGTGGTTGAGAGAATTTCCTGCTTCAAGCTAGTCCCTGGTCCTTCTAATGCTATAGTTTTTTCTGAAAGGGTTAACAGATGGGTAAATAGTGACCCTGCCATTTGGCCCCTAGGTGCAATCAGACAAATACTTGCTGTGGGGGAAGTGTTTGTATCCTGGAGAAAAACATCTAGTATCATAAAATACCTGGATATCTTATTGAAGCTGCCACAGCTGAATGACTCCACTGAATTTTCCTTTCAGTGGGAGGGCTGTATTCTTCCAAGAGCAAGATCTGGTACAAGTAAAAGGAACAAAAAAGAAGGTGGTATTAGAGTTTGCGTGTGAAAGGAATAGAGCTTGTCCAGTACCTTTTGGAGTATTGCATTGTTTCTTAGGACTAATGAATGTTCCATGGGTAATGGAGGGTTGGTTTATTGCTTTGGCTTGTTGCCCCTTTGTTTTATAATGAGGGAGAGGGTGGGAAGGTTGTGATACATGTTAATAGAAACTACGTGGAATCTTACATATTTTTTTTGTTTGCTCATGAAAGGGATCTTTCATATATTAAAATTATGGATGTTGGAAGGAGTTACCTTGTAAACAGAGTAATGGATCACATTCAGAGCCGGATTGTCTACTACCTCATGAATATCCATGTGACTCCTCGGTCAATCTACCTCTGTCGACATGGAGAAAGTGAACTCAATCTCAAAGGGAGAATAGGAGGAGATCCTGGATTGTCTGTCAGAGGGAAAGAAGTACGTACCTCCTGAACAAGTGTGACTGAATTTTGTGTGTATGTGTGCAGTTTGTGCTGTGTAATTACAGTTTTCTTCCTCTACACCCTTTTCCTCTTAACATGTTTAAGAAGGGTTTTTTTAGTTGCGTGTGTGGGTAGTGGAAACTGGATGGACACGCTTTGTGCGTTGTGATTTGGTACATGGTCTTTTATCTGTCGTTCTGTTGCTTGAAATTCGTTTTTATCCTACAGCACAAAGCTGTTGTCAAGAGGGCTTTATTTTTTAACTGTATTTTTCTAAAATCCTGACTTGTTGGATAACTGGGAAGGTTTACAAATTAAAGCTAAAAGGAAAATCCCTGGACATAAAGATAAGAACTGCAGAAAACTTGTGTCTTCCTTCTATTCTTTTCTGTCTCTCTCCTATCCCTCTTGGCTTAACAGAATGTGTTGTATTTCTTAGCAAAAACTTTGACAGAGCCTTTTGGAAAAGTTATAATGAGTTTACAGAGGCTAGAGCCTGTGTGTTCCAAACTGAACTCAGAGTGTGTTGGCTCTGAGCCCTCATCCAGTGTCTCGTGTTTTTTTTTTCAGTTTGCCAAAAGCTTGGCACAGTTTATTAATGAGCAAAACATCAAAGATCTGAAAGTCTGGACCAGCCAGATGAAAAGGACAATTCAGACTGCTGAAGCCTTGGGAGTGCCTTATGAGCAGTGGAAGGTTCTGAATGAGATAGACGCAGTAAGTTCTTTTCTAAATGTCTAATAAGTTGCTTTGTTTGCTAGGGATGAAGGAAGTACTTAATTTTGTAACGATATGCCTTTTATAGGATAGGAAGTAATTTAAGCTGGTTCTAGAGGCTGGGAAGATTGTAATTAATTCCTGTTAACAATGCTAAACGCTTTATTAAATTTTGCTGTAAATAATTTAGCCTTGGTTTGTCTTTCCCAGTAAAACATTCCCTGTAGAAGCCATGATGCTATGAAAATTTTGATAGGTGGGTGTTGCTAGTTGGCACTTTCCAACTGTATCAGATAGATAGATAGATAGATAAGCAGGTGCAATAGATAAACTATGACCTTGCTCCGTGACCTTGCTTGCCCATATATGTAACTTGACAGATCTAATGATTCTTTCTAATCACATCTGGATCCAGCAAGAGTTTCCTGTTCATCATGTGTGACCATTTTGTCAAAGGAACAAAACGCATTTTATATATGGTTTTATTTAAGAGTGATATCTGCTTTTTGCACTGCTGGAAATAAATTCTTTTTAAAAGAGTATTTTTATCACCTATAGGGAGTGTGTGAAGAAATGACATACGAAGAAATACAGGAAAATTATCCGCTTGAATTCGCACTGAGAGACCAAGACAAATACAGATACAGATACCCTAAAGGAGAGGTATGCTATTTTTTTTTCTCCTAAGGTGAAGGGTTTCCTTGTCTCCTTGAACACATGTATACTGGCTTTTGGAAGGAAAAAACAAATTTTGAAATTAATAAAAAGGTTGTTCCTTTCTCCAGGGGATAGCCCATAGGAGCTTGCAAGGACTGAGCCCAGACCATTTAATTTGATTCAGGGCTTGAAAAATAATAGATTTAGAAAAACAGCTGAGAGCTTTGATCTTGTGGGCATCGTTTCTATGCTGGTCCTGCAGTGATAAAGCAGGAGGAATGATTGCAAGGCTTCAAACTATTGCATATGCGAACATACTGCCAAGATCGCCTTTTGCTATTCATCCTCGCTGTAGATAATGGCTGCTTTGCATGCGGTTCCGGCTGAAATGCTGGGGAAATCTGTAGCCACATTGGTCTTTCACTTTAATAAACTCCTTGCCTCTGGGAAAATAACTTGCTGACAGCTTTTCTAAAGCAAACCCATTAGAGTGCGGCAATTACCAGATGGTCACACGGCCTGCCCGTGGGTGCGAAAGGCTTCGGTCAGGGCAGCAGGGCGGAGGAGTAATTGGACCAGCTGCTCGCTGTTTGTGCCGTGAGGAAGCGGGGCTCTGTGTTGCTCTTCCCTCAGCAGTCAGGAGTCATCTCTGTGATAAGAGCAGCTTGTGATAAGAGCAGTGTTCCTGCGGCTGTGACCCCCGTCTTACTAATGAGGCAGTCATTAAGCTGCAAAGTTCTCCTAGTCCATTGGAACAAGGACTGTTTGTTTTTCAATCCGATGCCATCCTCTAGGATGGTAACAAACACATCAAACTCCCTCATCGCCTTGGGGTGATGAGCTGATTTCAGTCGTTTGTCAAAGGCAGTTTCTCTGTCGCAGGGGTTTGCACTGCCTCGCTGGAGACCGCTGGGTTTCCCTTGCCAGGGTCTGAATCAGCAGTGCCGCTTCCCCGCCGGGCAGCCCCGGGCCTCGGCGCTCTGCTCTGGGCATGCCCTGCGCCGTGGCACGGCTTGGACGTGGTGTCTGCGCGTGGAAATGGACGTAAGGGTGCACGGGGGGCAGGCCTGGTGTGTCCCCGCTGAGCAGATTGATGTGTGCGTGCTGCTGTGCAGGCTGCGAGAGAAACCCGGCCTCGCTCTGTGAGTGCCGGTGGGATGGTGGCTGCCGTCGCCAGGCCAGTTCATCAAACCCACCGTTTGTTTTCAAAGGGCAGCCTGAGCAAGTCAGGCTTTGTGAAGTCTTTGTACGCTGACTGTAGGCTGGGTTTCCCAGAGTTTTGCTTTTGAAGATGTGGTATGGCAAATGATGTGCAAGATTTAACCTGTGCATCTGCAGATGCTGTGAATTAAATTCTAGGTATTTTGTGGAAATTTTTTGATCATAGTGACTAATTTAATAAAGCTTTTCCATCAGAGAGATTATTTTGTTATATGTATGCTCTTTGATAGTCTGGAAGACCTGAACTGTGTTCTTAATTTCAGGAAAATTTATTACTACAATATGTGTCTGTGCACCAATATAACATATAGAAGATGACTAATATGAAAGTAAGATCCACTGTATATACATATACTCTTCAAAGAGTTTTCCCTTTTTAACGTGCTGTGTATTTCTCATCCCCACCCAGTCCTATGAAGATCTTGTTCAGAGACTGGAGCCAGTAATTATGGAACTTGAAAGGCAGGAAAATGTGCTTGTCATATGTCACCAAGCTGTCATGCGGTGTTTGCTTGCATATTTTCTTGACAAGCCTGCAGGTAAGCCTTCCTTGATACACTACAAGTGGTCTGTTTTTTTTTTAAATGTACTGATTACCATTCCAAGCAGTAAGTTCTAACAATTCCCTTTATCATCAGAGGGTGGTTGTGCTAGGCAAGTACACAAGTATAATTTTTTGTATTGACTTGGTAGTTGATTTTTATTGAGCTGCTCCTCACCTGTAATGTTTGGTTTTTGCTCTGTTTGAGTAGCACCTCTGTTGCATGCTAGGATAGAAAACAGATACGCTGTCAGATAAAAAGACATTTAAGTGGTTGACCTGTAGCATGATAGAAAAGTTAGTGTTCTTGTAATCTGTATTTCATATGTAATTTGTTGTTTGATTTCTCAGAACAACTGCCTTACCTGAAGTGCCCACTGCATACTGTCTTAAAGCTAACCCCGGTGGCTTATGGTGAGTAGTATTAAGTATATATAATATTTAAATCTAACTATGCTGTCTGTGTAAAGTTTGTGCAGCATTTAAATTAAAGCACATTTAAAATTTATTTTGCTTCAAAATAGAATTGAACAATTACGTTTGACATTGCATGTATGCCTGTACAGCTTTGTTAGAATCAGTGAATCCTTTGGTTTTACACTGGCTTTGTGTTATGCCAGAAAATATGTGTGTATTAGTGAAGGCATGAAAATACCAGTGACTGTAACTGCTAGGGGACAACTTTCTTTTGTACTCAGTTCATATGCTGTTTCGCTAATTCTTCTGGCAAACCCGTGCCATTTACACATCTGGAACAGTAAGATCTACATTTTTATTGATGTATTTGAGGGTATTGCTTTTTAGAAGACAGGCAAATTTACATTTATGTAAGTTTATCATTTTACAAAGGCTTCCCCTTACCCTTAAATTTAACTCTGTTCTCTTTTCCTGAAGTATTTTTTTCCCCCCACTACATGAATTTACCTTGTTGTTGTTGGCGTTGTTTGCCAGCAGCTATTATCAGTGCTTAGCTCAGGGGCTTTAGCTAGCTTGTAGAGTGGGGGGTATGGGTTGTAAGACATACTTCTTGGGTTTTAGGCTGATTGCTAATTAAGTTTTGTGTGTGTTTCAACCTCCTCTTCACACGTGCCTGCTGTTAATTGTATTTATGTGATGGTTTAATTATATCTTCTAATATCACACTTTAGCAGATTATTCATAGACAGAGAACTATCTGCACATTTTACCAGGAAATGGATTGTCAAAAAATCCTAGTCGAATTATTAATCAGAAATGCAAAGCTGTCTTTGACTATCAGCTTTGAGAAACAGCAGTCTAGACCTGTACTTCTTTGTTAAGTGTAAAATAAAGTTGAGACAAAGTAACTAGCTGTTACTGTGAAATCTGTCTGAAGAGATTTTTGTCATTTAATTGAGGTGTCCTCTTACAGTAATAACTGCCTGTGCTTTGGTGACATCTGGTGTTCCTAGCCTTGCATGACAAGCTGGTGTTTTGAAAATAGAGAACGGTTAAAACTTTTTTTTTTTTTTTTTTTTTTGAAACTGCATTCTCTTGACTTGGTAGTCTCAGCCTGTTTTCACAGAGTGGTTTTTGTTTTGAGGTGGGTTTTGTTTTGGGTTTCGGTTGTTTTTTTTTGAGAAGTTGGGTGACTTCATAAATTTTAAGAGGGCTTGCATGTTTGCAGTGTTTACTCAGACATTAAATGAGGAAGGAAAAGTGGTGTGAAGTATGGTCCTTGTCCTTTTGACTTCAGTTCTTTTTTAAAGTGCTTGATACATATGTCTGATTAGCACATTTCAGTCGACCTACTTTTTGGAATTTGACCATCTGAAAATACAAGGGCTGTGTAAACTATTTATACAGTCATAATCTATAGCATTATTTCAAGTTGATGTGTCACTTGGCTCCAGTGAGGCAGGGTGCAGGATCAAACGTGGTGTGTTTAATACCTTCCAGCTAATCCTGTTCTAGGGTAGCACCTCCCTTAGGGGTTTGCTCTTCCTGGCGTTTGAAGCATCATTTCCACCCTGCATGTCTGATCTTTAGTAGAGGAACATCTGTTATGGCCTGACAGTTGGATTAGGATAAATTAGACTTTTATCCAACAATCCAGTATAGTGGTGGTCTGTGTGGGAGCACTCAGGAAAGATAAACTGTGTCTTGCTGTAGGTATGAACTTGCACATTGGTAATTTAAAATGAGCTGCACATTGTAATTATTGTGGAGTAACTCATGTCCCTTTAGTTTATACTCAAAGCTTTCCATATGATACTTTTTTCAGATTCTAACCTGAGGTGGTGGTAAGGACTGTGGAAGTGTGTCTGCTGTCGTAACCCATCCTTAGTAACAGCTGGCACCAGGAATCAGAGCTTGTTTTGGCTTGGTCTTGGGGCTCGCAATGGATCTGTGAACAGAAGGATGACTAGGGTACTCCGCAGTGGAAGATGTGTGCTGTTCCCCTTAAAATCTGTTCTCTGGTCCACTGTTTCTGAGTGCTGACCCTCCTGCTGTGTTTGCTCACAGTGTTCGTGACAGATGAGGTTTCTCAGAATAGGCTTCCCTAAGATGCCTTACTAATTTTTATATATATATTTTAAAGTGCAATAGTTTTCTAAGAAAGGGGGAAAATCTCTTTTTTTTTTTATTATGTAGTCATTCTATGGAGTGTTGTTGCATTTAGGGTAAGAGAGAAATCCCCTTGCGTTCTAGCTGGCCCTTAGAGATCAAAGGGGCTAGGGGTGGCTGGACTTATCCCTTAATAGGTATGGCAGTTGGGACCATGACTATATAAGTCTGACCCAGCCCAAGCAGGCACTCAGGAGAAACAGTCAGATTCACAAATAGTACAGTTTATTTTCATGCAATGTTTACAGATTCTTTAGGGTTGCCTACGATAAATGCATGAACTGCAGGTTGGCTATATTGTGCTACTTAAAAGAGGAAAAAAACCCAAAACAAAATGATTGCAATCTCACACACACAGTTCCCCGAGGATACACTGGGGTGTAGCCAAGGGAATCTTACCAAAAGGTGTCCCTTCTGGGGGGGAGCAAGAGCACAAACCCATCGATCTGTCCCTCTGATTCGGTGTCGGATTATTGTCCCTCCAAGTTAGGTACAAACTTGGGGTACTATTTATTGTAGTAGGTATGGTGAGTGGGTGGGACTGTAGTCAAATAATTATTTTATCATTAATACATAATTAGTTTCATGGTGCCAAGGGGTACGGCTGTTTTTTTGTGGGAAAAAGGGAGGATGGGAAGCAAGGTTGACTTGGTACAATGGGTGCATCTGGGTTGTGTGGGAAGGAAGGGAGGATGAGGCACAGAGTTGGCTGGTTGATAAATAAAAATCATATTTCGAGGGAACCAAGCAGAACAGGAGATAAATCTGTCCTTGAAGTGAAAGAATGGTACCGCACGGCCTGCCCCCCGCTTCGCATTCCTCCTTGGCGCCACATCAGACACAAATCACTGGACCTCCGTCCAGTCCTGTGTTTGTTCTGGACACTCTGTGTCAAGGCAAATGTATGCTTTGCAAGTTTCTCACTGTTTTGCTCTTTTGCCTTCCTCAAGCTTCCGATACCCAATTTTCCAATACATAATTTTCAATACCTAACAAGTGTGTTATGGCTTCAGGAAATAAGTGAGCAGAAAAATTTGAAAAGGTATTTGTGATAGAAGATGGACTCTGAGGTATGTCAGAGGAATTTGAGTATTACTGAATGTTGTGTAGGGTAGTGTAGCTTATAACAGTCATGTTTGTGTGAGATAAGACTGTTTGGCAATCAGATCATGCTTAAAATGATGTGGCCACAGTGAATTCAGTAGTCATTATCTAAGTAGGTATGTTTATACTACCTGAATAATACTTGTCTCTTCTGACTGTTTATTTTTTCTTGCTGCTTTGGAGTTTTCCATTTCTGGGTGAAAAAAAGTTCCTTTTCAGAAGTCACCTTTAAAGTTCCATTTAGCTTGGGGTTAAAGCTGTTTTGCATGCATAGAGGAATAGGAGTTGCTAACAACACACAGTGTACCTTCTCATAATCATTTTAATGTTTTAAAAAATGGAAGCTGTGTTTATCTTCCGAATTACAATGAAATTCTAAGAAGTCTATGTTACAAGTAAGAACTTCCTGACTGAATGCTGTTGTTCATGTGTGTTTAAAAATGAGAATCTGTTTCAAAGAAAATAATGATAAAGCTAAGGTGTGAATAGGAGATGGATTATCAGATGGAGAATAACGTTCACCCTGATGGAATAGATTCACTTTGATAGCTTTAGCTATTCAGAATTTTGGCAATTCTAATATAAATCAGAAGGAGGAAAGTGATTAACCTTCACCAATTCAAAATTAGATTGCATCTTTATTACAATTTCATTTTTAAAGCAGATCAATTCTAAAAATATGTTTTCTATCAACAGGATGTAAAGTAGAGTCTATATTTCTGAATGTTGAAGCTGTAAACACACACAGAGATAAACCTGAGGTAAGAATATTTTTCAAATTGGACAATTTGATGTACTATCTGAGCTGATTTCCATTGTCCTTGTGGTTAGAAATTATTTGATAACTCGGCTGAGCATATTTAATTTTATGTATCAAGCTTTGCTACTGTTTTTTGTTGGGGGTGGGGGGAAAAACCATCCTTTTTGTTGTGCAAATTTGTCTTGGATATGAGCTCTAGCTGGAGTAGTTTATCTTCAAAAATTGAATGAGAGTTGAAGATACATATCAGTCTAAAAACTATGTAAAGTTCTCCCAGGCTTTGTCATTCAGCACAAGTATGGTATAGTCAAGAAGTATGTTGTTGTGAATGCCAGGCTTATTTTGGAGAGAGTGAATAATGAAATCATCAGCTTTTTCATCACTGCGATCGTTGCTGTATGAAAAAGAGGAATTGGTGATGCCACCTGTCTTTTCAGCCGAAGCTGGAGAGGAAGACTAGATCTCAGGATACAACAGAGCAACTGGGGAAAAGAAAATTGAGTGAATTTGTAGAATGTAAGTGGAGATAAGATGTCAGACCATGGCAGCTTCATACTCTCCCCGTGTCAGGCACACAGTTCTGTGTGCTTGTTGACGTGAGCTTAGGTTGATTGTGCTGCTCGTGCAAAGCTCTTCCATTGCTGCATTATGAAAGTTATGTATCTAAAATGAGCCATGAGTAAAAATTTCTGGTTCCCTTGCAGATTCTCATGCTAATGCTACTAGGTAAGGCACTGATTCTGCTGGGGTTATGAGCCGTGCTTACTGGTGACTTAAAAGTCAGTTTGATAACACAAAGAAAAAGGGCTGTTTGTGGTGGTTTTCAGAACAGTGCTTTACGGTGAAAAGGAATATAGTGATAAATGTGTTTTCATGTGTGTATTCAATAAGGCATGTGACACAAAATGCCGTACTTATTAGAGGGTACACATTTATGGCAGTTGTGCAGAATTCATCCTGGAGAGGTCTGCAAAGGACTTTGGTTTTAATGACTTGGATGTTCAGAGTCTGAAAATACTGACTTTTGGCTGTTCATAGCCAAGACATTTTCTATTAGATAGTCGTATTGCGTGTTTCCTTTCTCCCTTTCTCCTTTGTTTTTCTGCTTTACCACTTTTGTATCTCAGTGGGGTTCATGAGGTTTAGGAAATCCATTCTGTTTTCACAGTGCCTGAGAGGTGCTGGAGAAGTGTGGTGAAAATAAATGAGGATGTCTTAGAGCAGGTGTTAGGTTATCCATGTTGGATGATATAGATCAGCTGAACATCTTCAGCTTGGCTGATAAAACATTGGTGCTGAATTTACAGCTTGCTAAAGTGCCTTGGGAATTGCTGTTGGGCATACAGCTCCTCTAACTGAAGCCGTTTATTTCCAGGGGAGAGCTCTGTCTGCATCACCAAGTGACTCTTAATGTGTCTAGGAAATGCTGTGGCCATACTGACGTTGGTGTTGGGTGGCTGTGTTTCAGATGCATGTAGAGGATCATGCAGATTGTTGCATTACAGTGGGCACGAAGACACAAAACTCTTTAATTTGAACAGAAATAAATTGAATTAGTGATATTTAAAAAAGAAGAAAAGCAGCCAGAGGTATTGTTGTTAAAAAACCTCAAACACTCTTCTCCCTCTGCCCCCAAAGAAACCCAGAGCAGTGAAGTATGGGTGATGATACGATGTTTATTTAGTAGGACTGAATGAAGGGTTAAATTGACATTGTCTGCATTTGAATGCTGCTCGGAGGCCTATGAACATTTCAAAAGCTTTCATTTACATCACCTACGAAAATGTTAATGACTTCTGTAAAAATTAAGTTTTCAAATAGTCTATCGAAGTCAAAGTATTTAATTAAATACAGCGTCACAGATTGTTAAACAATGGAACTGATTCAGAATTGCCCAGTGAGCTGTTCTGTGCTCCCACAAGTAATTTGTAGTCCCCGTTTCAGAACAGAGCACTCCTTTTTGGCTTCAGCTGAGAGCATCTATTTTCACATTGCAGAAACACAGGCAAAGCACTGGAGTGTTTGTTTATAGTGTGTGTAAACTTCATTGTATGATGATGGTTTGTCCGAAGTGGATTGAAGCCTTGTGTTTGTCAGCATTGTAGTGGCTTAAGTTCCTGACCTTTTCAAATGAAGGAGTGTATAGTCTTTCTACTGAAAACAATTCAGGGGAATTACTTCAGCAGTTGCTTGGGTACTCCCTTTGGGCTAGAAAACAAGCCCTGGGCTAAGATGTCTACTTTGCACCTCTGTCTTAGTGAATGACAGATAGGGAGATTGCAAGAAACCCAGATCTCCTTTTTGATTTTGGGGGGAAGGGGAGAGGGAGGTGTTTAGTGAGAGGTGAGTTTGCTTACCACAGTATAAACCAAATAAGACTCATGAAGCCCATCAGTGCCAAGTTTGAAGAATTGGCAGTGATTTGACATAAAATGGGCCAAATCCTAGATCAAGATCTTGTAAGGAACTTCAGTTTATCACAGTCGACTTTCGTCATGGCAGGACAATTGTAACTGCACGGTCTTTGGGACTTGCATGAGGTAGTACCGTGGCTGGTGATCCCTGAGCCTGGTGCACACAGCTGCACTCAGAGCTGCGCTGCCTAGTGTGAGTGTTGGGCTGTGCTGGTGTTCTAGTTTGTTTTGAATAATTTGCTGCATTGAATGTCTTTTTTTCTACAGCCTCTGCAAAATGAGGTGAGATCTAGTTGGTGTGATCAGTCTCAAATGGTTAAGGTGTCTGGGAAGGTATTTTTCTATTTTGTCAGAGGCAGTACATTGCCTTATAACAGAAAATGTTAAAAGTCTTCCCTTGGGGAAGAAGTATATGGCATAGTTCAGCAAAGCACTGAAAGTTGCTTAATGGATCGACGTGTATGTGCTGAAGCACGTGTCTAAGTGTATTCCTGCTTGGGCCTGTAAAAGACTTCCTCCTAAACATGAATGACTTGAGCTTTGGTAATACTATCAGCATGGGATCAGCAATTACTGTAAATACGTTTTCCTGCTGTCCAGTTCTGGGACACCAACCAGCTGTCAGTCTCCTGCATTCTTGGGGTATGGGGTTTTAAAAAAAAATCTGCTTTTAAAGAAACGCAGCTGTATACTTGTGAAGGAATCTGATGGGGGTTTTTTGTTGCTCTTACTGCTGCATGATAAAAATTCTCCTCTGTATTTTTATTATTACACAGAATGTAGACATTTCCAGACCTCCCGAGGACGCTCTTGTAACAGTCCCTGCTCATCAGTGAATCCTGTGTGCTGATCAACTATCGAACTTGGGGTGCTGTTTTCATCCTACTACTTCAAAATAAATGGAAAAACTAATCATTCCAATCACTTTGAAATAAAAAAGCCCCACCCAAACCCAACAACTCAAAATCCAAACCAGATGTTTGTACAGTGCATGACTTGAAAAAATTATCAAATCACAGTAAAACTATTGCCCTGGTTAATTTATCGTGGATGAGTTATCAAACATTGATCGGCTGTCACTGGAATGCTGTTTTAGTAAATTGCTATAAAGATCCTGCAGCATTAAGTTTTATTGTAACAGCCAGCGATCATTAAATATTAGTTGCAGTGCGTTTATGAAAGCCATGAAACACAACATCCTGTGTGAGATAAGAAAAAGTTGAAGTTTGTTTTCTAGGCACCAGTATTATCTATTTCAGTGCCCTTGGGAGTGATTGGACTGCTATGTAGCGTAAAATAACAATCCATAGTTACTGTAAAACCTTAATCCTGCTGATCCATAGCACTAGTGCTTTAGATGTGCTAATTAATGATGTGCTGTTTGAGGAGGGTGGCAAGTTTTCACTTAGTTCCAGAGCAATTATTCAAGGTACAAGAATGTGTATAAATGTTCTTAATATTCAACTTTTCTTAACAGCTGTTCTACATTAACTAGGCTTTAGGCTTTGCCTGCTGGCAGAAGTGATTTTAGATTTCCTCTTTTCTTGCTTCTTGTACGGATGTGGGTGATTGAGCGTTTACAGCTCCGCTCTGTATGTTTTTGTACCCAGATTTTATCTAGACTGCAGTAAACAGTGTTGACTGTTTCAGAATGTGGAAGCAGAGTTAGCCTGATTATTTTGTAGCTGGGTTGTGGCTTGCCTTGAAAGGGATGGAAATGGGGGGATTTTCCTCCCTCCAGAAGACGTGGGATCTCAAACCAGCAGGGTATGCATCCTAAAGTGATTTACAGCAAAGCCTTTCACGGGCTGGAGAAGACTGCAGCTTGTCTGAGATGCGGTGCCATGCCTTGGCTCCTTTTTCTGTGGTGTTAACAGGGGGCAAAACGAGGCAGTGGGCAGCATCTGACCCATTGAAGAAGCTTTGTTTAGGTAACATCAAGTCTGGGAAAGGCAGAAAATCACCGAATCCTGGAACAGTTTTCTGAAGGGATCTTTTAGTCTTGAAAGTAAGCAAGAGTGGATGTTGTGGCAAGCTTTAATCTCTTAGGTTTCTCAGGTGGTACATTTTTCCAAAACCAGGAGTTTGGAAAAAAAGTGTTACATATCTGCACTTCTAACATTACACTGAAATTTTCAAAGTTTTGTAGCAATCAAGAATGTCGGATATATCTATTCTATTAGTTAATAGTAAGTGGTACAGCGGGAGGTTCTCTGGCCAGGAGAATATATTCAGCAATATCAGCCTCCTGGCCAGAGAACCTCCTGCTGTACCACTGGCTAGTTAAACCAGTATCCCAGGATGGGCTGGGACCAGGGGGGAACCCAGATTATTGTCCTCTCTGTGTTGTGACTGTGACGTGGGAGTGTTTTGTCACTTTCCCATGTTTAGTTATCTCAGCCTCTCAGCATGTGCTTTGTTGTGAAAAATGCTACAGAGGAGGAGATCTGAGCCTGCACTTGCACATGTTAATTAGTGAATACAGTGGCTCTTGCCTGACAGCTGAGGTGACATCCCTGGGAGGTTGGAGGGACACTGGCCATAGTCAGGTACTGAGAAACCATGCTGAAATGCTTGAAAGTGCTGTCACTTCATGGGCCACAGCTAAGGAAGTACTGTGACAATTTAAACTGAACACATTTTTGATGGAGCCCGGATTGCACAGGTGTCTGCTGTGGAAAAACTGAGTGTTGCTGCTTGAAAAAGGGTGGCTTGGACTGTCAGAGGAAATGGACGGGGAAGATGGAAGGAGCAGGAACTTGGTGGGAGAGGAAAGCTGGGCTCGCTTGCTCTGCGGCTCACAGAGGTTGCGGAGGGAGGGGAAGTGGCAGAAGCCCAGGACCCTCCATCCCTGCCTGCGGCTTCCAGTCCATGTCCTGGGGCTGCGCCTGCATGTTGTTCTCTTTGCTGGCATAATGCTCTTTGTGCTGATGTGTGCAGTGGGGTGAAGTGGATATTTAAAAGCAGTTTTGTGCTCTAAGGGCTCTCCTATTCCAGCAGGATTGCTTAATAGTCCTCTCTGGCTTATTTTCTTAGTAAAAGAAAGGCCTGATGCTGGGTGGGAAATGGCAGTGACAGTTTGTGGCGCAGCTCACCAAGGGAAAGCTGGCTGATAGGAATACTGGGTTGTGTAGATTGGGCTGGTTTTCTCTTTATGCCTGTGCTGGTTGTTCAGCTGTGTAGGGCCCTTATTAACTGCATCTGGTCTGGCCGTCTTTGTGGCTCCTGTGCCCTTCAGAACCCCGTAGAGGGGCCTTCATGTGAAATCTTACCGTTTTGCTGTGAAGATCACAGGTTGCTAATCAAAACTGTAATGGCAGACTCGATCCTGTTTGGAAACCCACTTTGTTTCTAGGGGAGGCTCTCTTCTGTAGGGGAAAAAAAAAAGTGCAAAGTAGAGAGAAGTATAATGAAAAGAGGAAGAACAGTGATATAAGATGTATTTAGGTTAATCTGTGTGTTTGGAGTCTTTCCAGAGAGGAGTGGGTGAGATGGACCCTTGTGCAAGGCAGGGTGAGGTTGCTCCTGTCCCCGTGAGCGCTGAGCCTCCTCGGGGAGCAGGCTCTGGAAGCAGCGAGCCCTTGCCCGGGCTGACCTGGGGAGACCCTGACTGCCTTGGTAGAAATAGTATTTTAAAAAGGTGTGTGGTGGTTTTATTTCCACTCCTGTGTTTCCTGGGCTCTCCAGATGTGTTGCTGCTGTGCCGGGCAGTGGCAGTGCTGCCCCCAGGATGGCAGTTTTGTCTAGGTGTGCTTTGGTAAGGCAGTACTGGGTGCTTGCAGGGACAGCTTTTTGTCCCCAAAGAAAGGCTAAAACCTCGGTCGTCTTTCTAAGAAGCAGCACTGTTCCTGTTGCATGACTTTTCTCTCTCAATGCCCATGGCTATTCTGGAAGTAGGTACAATCCCAGCTGCCGTAATCTGCTCTAATGTGATTCCTATGAGTGGGAATCCATTTACCATTAGTGAGGATATTCATCCCTTCCTAAGCCTCAGTTCATCTGGTCTTGCAGGTAGGTATTCTCTTTGTCTAATAGCTCTAGGGTGTGTTTATTAGGATTTATCCCAGGGCAGACTTACCTTTCTTCAGTGTGACAGTTTAGTGTGCTTCGCTTCTCCAGCCTTTTCTCCTTCACATTAATGCAAATTGAAGCACTTTTTGCTTTCAACTTTCTTGACTGCATATTGATATTCCCTCTTGGGTCTGTCTCAGTTGCTAAGATGCTGCTTTCATCTGATACTTGTCATTGATTTAAATAAACTGTATCTTCTGCCTTGTCTTGACCACCTTGTTTCATTTTAGTTTCGCATTATAGCTGTCTGGTTCTTGCTACTTGTGGACTAATTTCCAGTACCTTTGGATTCCTGTGTATTGACGTCCCGTTTCATGCTCCATTTAATTTTCTTTGAATGAACAGCAGATGCTCAGCTTAAAAGATTTTAGCCAATATTCTTGATGTGCCTGTGGAGACATCTCCGCAGTCCCAAGGACTTTCTGGGTATGTTAGATCAATTGCTAGGAAAAATGCAAACACATGAAACAAATGCCAGCATGCTGGGGTTTTTTTCCCCTCTGTGTGGTCATGACGAGTGTGCCTTGTTTTGCCAAGTCCTCATCTTTTTAGGTGCTTACGCTTTCTCCATGCCCTTTGCTGAAGAAAAGATGCTGCCTATAGAAGCATTTTTCTGAAACAGGGTTGTTGCTTTGAAGAGAGGAGTTGGAGAGAGGGTTAGGCAGTGTGGGGGTGGGTGCAGAGATTTCCAGGACTTGGATGACTCGGGCCAGCAGCATTCATGTGTGTCTCCTCAGAAACCTTGGTGCGGTGTGTTTATGGTGAAATACAGGGTGATTTACTCGGAGACTTGAAGGCTGATGAGAAAGGAAGGGGCTGACAGTAATGTATGAGAATTGATAAGGACAGAAGTGATGTCGGCACATTTCAACCCTCAAATCAAATCTGGTGCTGCTTGTTTATCTTCTGTTTTCATAAGAAGTGACTGAAAATCCTAGAAATTGGGGTTGGGGCAGGGATTGACTTGCTTTAAGTTGATGCATTTTGACTGATGGAGTCGTGTGCTGTCCGAGAGTGTGTGCTGAGAGTCCCCCTCGCTGTGTGCTAGTGAGGTTCTCCTTTTCCTTGAGCTGGACTGAAGAGACTTGTTTTGAAAGTGAACTCCAACAGATGCTGTTATAAAGCCACTGAAACATGATCTGATGTCACTGTGACATCTGCCAACATGCTCATGTCTCCTCAAGTGCATTTAAACTTCACGTTACCAGCTCTTTTAGGGAGTTACTGAGTCCTTCAGCTGCTTACAGACAGGATCAGAATTAACTTTATAGCTGTTGGTGTTAAGGAGTCATTTCCTAGAGCATGTTTCAAACAAGGAGAGACAGGCTTCCCTCCCTCCAGGTTTTATCAGTTCTTGTGTGGTTTATGACCTCTGTGTTGTTCTGTTTTTTCTTATACTGTATGCATAAAGACTAGAAGAGATCGTGGATTTGAGAAATGTGGTTTAAAATGGTGGTTAAAGGAAGAAAAGTCTTAAAAACCATAACACTGTGACCTGCATATGGTGTACAGAGACTGTCCTACTAGACCTGCTGTAATCTTAGAGATGTTTTTTCACTGGCAGCAGAGATCCTGCTTTAGGTACCTGAGGGATGTGGGCTCTGTGAAGCGCAGAGTGGCTGGGATGAGGTTGAAGCCTGGCTTCTGACTTCTGCTCATGGGCTGGGACCTTTCCTTGTGTTTTACAAAACATTGAGGAAATAAGCATTAGAACTTGCTCATCTTTTGCCTTGTGTAATAGCCATGTGTTAAGTAAAACTACAACTGAGACTCTTGTTTCAAAATCTTTTTTGTCTTTACATTTTCAGAATGTAGGTGTGGATCGATCGCGAGAAGAAGCTTTGAGGACAGTACCTAACCACCTATAGCTCCAGTTCCCAGGGCACCAGCCCTTCCTCCAGCATAAGAGCGTTAAGTAGCAGCTCAGGTCCAGGAGAACGGAGAAGGTGTCGCTGAGCACCGAGCGAGTTGGAACGAACGCGCCTCCCCTTCACTTTAAGACATTTCGAATGTGATTCAGCTTCTTTGGAGAACACCTGTAGTTGTGGATAACTCCCAGTCCCGAAAGGTATCAGTAAAAAGATTTTATGGGAAGCAGAGTAGTGTTGGTTTTAGATTTTTTTGTATGTAAATTTGTGCAGTTTCAGTGGTTTTTATTGTTCATCTGTGGATACTGCAAGATGGTTAATTGCCCGTGTCAATTTTACTGTCAGATTTTAACTAGATTTTGCTTTCTTTTTTAACTGGTTTTCTAAGAGTTCCTCTTATTTTCACTGTGAATGATTGCCTAGAATTACGTGGAGATATTTTAGATGGCATATTTAACATAGATGAAATTCTACATTTTGAGCATTGGAGGCTTCATGTTGCAAAACTGCTTTAAATGGGAAAGCCTGTCAGCTCTGATTAGCTTTTCTGAGCTTTAGATTGAGCTTTGGTTTGTCAGCCACACTTAAATTTTACTTAAATGGGGAGACTTTCCCTTTGGAAAATAAAAGCCTTAAAGTTAGATTCACTACCTGAAAGATTCTGCTGGCTTAGCAAGATTTTAACATTTTCCAGGCACCAGCTGTATTTTGGAGGGCAGGGGAAGACAGTGTTAAGTGGGGGACATGAGTGGAGTATAGCTGGTAGCCTGGCTAAGGAATTGAGACACACCTTTCTGCTGCAGTTACAGGAGGGAATGGTAGCTTTTCTGAAACAGGAAGGGAGCCCTGTCAAGGGCTGGAGAAGCTGCTTTTCTTATTAGTGCTGTGATTTGTATGGGTTTGTTTTGGTTTTTTTTTTTTAGGCGATTTTTGGAATGAATTTCAACATGAAAGTATATGTTTCTCTTTTATAGCCACATTTAATACGTACATCAGGAAACAGTACAGAAAGGTTAGGTGGAGTTTAACCATTCTAACAGCTCATGCAAGAAAAACACCAGGTAAATTCTGAAATTATTTTTAACACTGGCACACCTGCCTTGGGTTTTTTTGTGTTGTTTTTAAGCATCTTTCACCATCCTAATTCTTTACTGCTCTTTCATGCCTTGAGAAACTCCAGTGCTGAAAATGGAATTTTCTATGTCTGTTGAGGCCACAACCTCTAACTGTACTAAATCAATGTGTATTATGTATGTGTGCTACCAGCTGAAGTGAGCTGCCAGCACTGCTGCTGGCTTTTAGTTCTGAAATGAGGAAAACTATCCTTTGGTAGATGGACTGTGTTGTTTTTTCTAAGGACTTCTCTTCAATTAATTGAGCTTTTATCATGTATGTTGTTGGGGTTGTTTTGCTGGTTTTTTTTTTTCTTTTTCTCAATTCCTGTGTGAAATACTGGGCCCTAGTAACGTAGTTTTGCAGGCAAGGGCTAAATTGTCTTTTGTTTGTGCAGGGTTTATAAAATAATGTGCTGCTGTCGTGATTTGTTTTAATAAGCTAACTTCAGCAATATATTCAGCTCTGGAAGTAAGCCATACTGTATCGCTGGGTTCCGTTGCAGACGAGGAATGTGTAGGGTGCGGAACAACCAGAAACACTTGCTTCAAGCGCTGCTGTCTAAAGCTTTGTGTGTGCGATCCTTGTGTTCAGTAACACCCATTTCAGATCTGTGTTAATTGAGCTGTGTCCATAGCTATTGTGTGAGGAGAGAGACCACACAGCGCTGCTCAGAGAAGTTAATTTATTGATGCGTAGTTAAGAAAGCCGCCTTCGTGGCAGAAATGTAGAAGTAATTTCCCCTCCCGATTTGATGTGTGTTCAGCGTGGGAAGGCTGGGCTGTGCTCCAGGCAGACCTCCACCATCCGAGACCAGGAGTTGTTAAGCAGTTTTTAAATTGAGAAAGTCGGAGTTGATCTGTAGTTAGAGAGGGCAAATCCCAGGAGACTGTATTAGAAAAGCAGGGTTTCACCGGCACACTGTGGTACTTCTCACATTGAAGAACTGTGGTGGAAGGAAAGGTTTCCCCTAGTGAGAGCTGAGCCCAAGGGCTGCTTCTCTTCACTGGCAAGCACGGCTTGAGGTGTCTCCCCTCTCTCCTTTCTTCGTTTTACCCCTCCCAACTTTTATAGAGGTGCTGTAAAATTCCTTGAGGCTTAATGTTTTATGTATAGTAGGTATTTTTATAGCCTGCTTTTGAATATACTGTGATAAGTGTTTTACTAAGTTGGGTGTTCAGTAAAAAGATTGTATACAAGTGTAAATAAACTGTCATGCTGATACTTGAAAAGAAAAAAAAATAAAAATGAAGTTGTCTGTTCTACTTTAGGAAGGTATTAAATCACTGACTGCATCCGACCCTTTCTAGCTGGTGAGAACAAGTGTAGACAATGAATGTAGCTTTGAAGCAAGTGATCAGTTCTCCCCAGGGCACAACCACCTTTCCAGAAAGGCACTGTTAAGAATTGAAGAGTATTGTCACTGTCTGAAAGCTGCGTATGTCCCCTGCTCCTGACAGAACTGTCACTGACAGGGGAGGTGAAAACCCATGTCCTGACCCTGTATATTTGTCCCCATGTTTATTCTACTGCCTTCTGACTGTTAATGCACTTGCTAGCTCAGATGCGGTCTCTCTCAAACGGGATTAAACTGTCTTTTCTTAAATTGTTGGCCTTCGTTGTAATCTTTCAGACAAATGTAATCATTTGACCTTTGATCCAAGTAATAAAGATCAAATGTTACAGCGAGTGCTGATGTGTGTTTCTTTCCATGACTGTTTACAGCAGCTGAAGTGCCAGGTGAGTGTTCCTGCAGGGCAGCAGCTTCCCACAGCTTTTGGAAGTGTGGGAACTGTAGCTTGGTTAAGAAAGTTTATACACAGGCATAAGAATTAAGTTAATTTATCCGCATTGGTTGTTCTACTTTGACAAATAATTTAAGTAACAAACTCAGTAACTGAGGAAGAAGCTAGAAGAATTGGTTAAACAAATACAAGTCAAGATCTGCATGCAACAGAGAAGAAAGGTAAGACTTTATTAATTTTGCCTGGTCATCGCTGTTCTTACATTGTCTTCCACAGGCTGCTGCTTTTTGGAGAAAGCTGAAAACCAACGGCTAAATGCTGCCTTCTAGTACAAACGAGCATGTATAGGTTAAGTAGATGGCAGTGAAATTGCAGGGGTACTTGTCATTCTGAAGGATAAGGACAAAATTAAGTACTACTTTGTGGTTTTAAATTGTATACTCAAATTTTCATGTCTTGATCCTTGTATACTATTGGGTGGTAGCCACTTGTACCTTCCCTGCTAGGTGGAAGAAGTGTTTTCTTTACAGTATATTTTATATTTGGGGGGAGGTAATATTTGATTTAGAGCTTTCAGGCTGCTTTCTGGACAAAGTTCTTTATCTCCATCTTCCTGGTAGGAGGGTGGCCCAGATGGTGATGCTGGAGCAAAACCAGCCATTTGCTGTATGCCAGCCAGCCACCGAGGTGCTTGAAGGTGTGTGACCTGGGGACCTTCACCTGCTGGTGGCTGTAAGAAGCCAGCACCTGTGGCAGGGCAGCTCCCTGTGCAGGTGGTGCAGTTAACCTGTTACCTGTGGCATGCTGAGGAGAAAGAGTGTAGTTGCTCCACAGAGGAAAGGAGATGTCTTGACCCAGGGGCCATGAGTACAGTCAGGCTGGTGGAAGCCAAGCTTGTGGCAACAGAGGGGCTCCAGGTCGGCCAGGCAAAGGGCAGCTGATAACGTTGCTGGGTGAAGAGCAGGGTCCCTGCTGCACATGTCAGGCAGCCCTTGCTCCAGAGCAAAGCAAGGAAGTGTAGTGAGCAAATGCTCCCACAAGCAACTGCTCCTGCTCGCTGTAATCCATGACAGGTTCTGGTTGTCCATGTGCCCAACTGCTGGCAACACCTGTCTGCTTGGAAAGCAGAATAACCTGCTGAAAAATAGCAAAGCAGAAAGGACTGAGCAGGTTCCTGGAAGTGGATAGAAAGAAGTTTGCTGCTCTCCCTGGCAGCAACTTGCAGCACGGTGTGCATCTCCCCCTCTGACTGGAGTTTGTGTGCGTGCGGTGGTAACTAGGCAAAGCCCCTGTTTGAAAATGCCAACTGTGGGCTGACTATTCCAGCCTCCAGCTACTGTGCACTTAGATGACATCCAAGTCTCACGGGCTCTGCCTGAATTATAACAATAAGCTAAAGCTCTTCATCAGAAGAAAAACAAAGGCAGCACTTTATTTTTCTGAGTCTATGAAGTCTTACTGGGGAGTGAGCAGCTTTGTCCTGCTTTCAGGATTAACAGTCTGAAACTACCCAGCAGCTACAGGGTGCTCTTAAGAGCTCTGGAGCATTGTGTAACTGGGACAAAATGATAGTCACCAGGACACTTTTTCTGCCTTCTCAGTGGTTGAGAAAATGAAATAATTTGCAATAGTGTTAAAAGATACAAAAAGCTTTAGAGAAGCAAGAGGCCTTGCTTCACTCTGTACTTTAGAGCTGACTGCAAGGAGAAGTGTTTTGGAAAGAGCTTTGTAGTAATTACATTAGTTTCTTGTTAATGGTTAAAAATCTAAATTCAGAAGTAGGTATTGCAGCAAAGCAGGATCTAGTTTTGTGCCCTTTCTACAGCAAGTAGAAGGAGCCACAGCTGCCATATTAAGACCAAGCAACTAAAACTGGAAGAAAGCAAGATGTTTCTGCTCTGGCAGACCAGGCACAAGGTACTAAGGCTTTACACCACCCTTACCTGTCAGTTTTCTCCTGGTAAGCTGCTGTGACCATGTTGCATATTTCTATTAAAAGGAAGTGGCGTTTAACAGCAGAAATTCATATTCGTAGGATACTTGGGCCTCACTGTCTTATGCTTATACTGCCTGGGAATAAGTATTTTGCATGATCAGTGAGGCCTGACTCTGCTTGGCACTGACTGCTCTGGCAGAGACACAGGCTTTAGAAAAAAGTAGTGAGTAGTTCAATGTAACTTTCTTTTAATTGAAGACAAATAAAAGAACCAAGGGCTCAAACACTTTTTTAAAAAGAAGACATCTGTTCCCCAGTGTCTTCTCTTGAGCAAAATATACAGCATATATATGTATATATATATAACACATAACTACATTCAAGTACCAAACAGAATTTACATTTTCCCAAATAGAGAAAATAATGCACATGATTCACATACCTTAAACCTGACCATGCATAAAAACTGCTGATAAATCAGCAGTTGGACATAATCACACTACTGTGTATTATTATTCTTAAGTATTGATGTCATCATCAGAATACATAACACTTAGCACGGGGAGGTTTTGGTTTATAAAGTTTAACCCTGCTTTAAAGTCCAACTCTGTTCAGAGACTTATTTGTCTAAAATCTGTTCAAATTTGGGGTTAATAAAAGAAAATCCATCAAACGCAGACTGATCCATGGACTCAATCAGGTTTTTGTCACTGTAAGACAATTTTGGCTTCTCACTCAGAAATTCTCTGTCGAAGTTGTTGTAGTCGCTTGCTGACTTCTGTGTTAAAGAGAGGGAAGATAGTTTGAGACAAACTTTTTCACTTCTTCAGAACAAATTGTTTAAATACCAAAGGTTAAGAAGTTGTTACTGAGCTCCCTCCCTCCTCTCGCCGACCCTTTACAGAAAGAAAATCATTTTTTTTTTTTTTGCCTACTGTAACAACACTTAAGATTATAACTGGGCAATTGTTTTCCACTAACAACAATAAGCAAACAGCACCAGGTCACTCTGGAGAAGAATAACCTGGATTTGCCAGAATGTTTCATAGGTTTACCCAACGATTCTCTGTTGACAAAAGCAATGTAGCTCTTCACTTACATTTCAGTCTGACATTTCTTGCCCTTAACCAAAACTTGTAAATTCCTGAAAGCTTTTTACTGTCTGTACTTGCTGATGCCCTGTTGCAGCTGCTTTGTGTCTGGATAAAATATTTGTGTATGTTTCATAAAAATTCCCATTATTAAAGACCATGCTTTGCCCTCTGAACCTCCCAAGGCTACTGTTTGTAAGATCCTACACTTCAAAGTGCATTTCTGTGAGAACATGCAACATGAAGCCTTCCGTTCTCAAACAGGATAAACTCCTCCACCGAGTACGTAAGTACATTTTAAAGAGACTGTGTTACCTCCAGATCATTTTACCTGTACCAGTACTGCATGGAATAAAAATGGTTTGGATTTTTAACCAAGTGAGATGAAGCAGCAGCATCCCACAGTGATGCAGAGTGTGAGTAACACACGGTCTGTTCTTTAGATGTTTTTTCAAGTGACATTAGGCATGTACACAGCAAACAATTCTAAGTTCAGTACTACAGAGAATGCATCTTTTTGCCCACTTGGGACTCTTGGATGAGTTTGAAACACCACAGACATAATGCTTGTACAGAATGCCTGCAGGTAGTTACCAACTGCATAGCCTCAAGTTACTGGTCATTCTCCCACATGACATCACAGAAAAGTGCAAGAAAGTATCAACAGTTCTAACACTGAGAAGAATGGATATCAGAACTATTAGTTGATTTTCCTTGAAAGAGTATAGGAAAACAAGTCTTAGTAGAAAGATTTCAGGGCAGAGGACTGTAGTGCATATTTTTATAACTGCACCATCCAAGAACAATGGGGTTTGAGACAGTTATGTATCTCATTTATAAAATGTGAAGATAAAATTGCAGTAGGATAGTTTGAGCAAGTTAGAGGAATCACCCGTTAGCCCTAGGCTGAATGTGCTACTACAAAGCGAAGAGCCCACATACCACTTTTGGCCTGAAAGGAGGGTCCACCTCCCTCTTCTCTAGCGCCATCCAGTTGATGGTTTTGAAGAAAGGATGGTCCCTGATATTCCCAGTGACCCCAAGTCGTCTTGTTGGATCCCTTTCAAATAGCTGCAAGAGAAGACACCCAGTAAAGCCTTATGCCTGCCCAAAAGGTAGGTGGCAGTGGAAGAATAAGGGGTATACTGCTAAAAGAACATAAGGTGCAAACAGACCATCAGTAATGAATCAGACCTGGCTTCCCCTTTGTAAAAGTAATTTGCTTGCTGATAAACAGCAGCTCCTTCTGAAAGCCTAGATTTGTCCCTCCCCAGGCAAACACAGCACTGTGACCCACTCACTGATCACCAGCCCTACCTTCTCTAATATATCTTTCGATTCCTTGGTAATCCAGCGTGGGTAGTGAGGGATGTCCGCTCGGATTGACTCAAACAATTCATCTTCATCATCCCCATGGAAAGGGGATTGACCAATAAGCATCTCATACAGCAGGACCCCGAATGACCACCAGTCCACAGAGAATGTGTACCGCAAACCTTGCAGGATCTTGTTCCACGGAAGTGCAGAGGAAGAAACACAAGTAATTAGTAAAAGGCAGCAATATATACCAAAGACCAGAGGAAGGATTTTAACGGAGAATCTTTAATAACGGGGTATTTAGAGAGAGAAAAAAAATCCAGGTATTTGAATAATATTTGACACTGCACATCTGTAGTTTCATCCTTGGCTGCTGTTGGTAGAAACGTGGACAGCTCAGTGGACAGGTCTTTGCTCTCTCATTCAGAAATTTTCTCCATTAACTTTAGATAACTGTATACTTGGAAAACATCTAATTTCTTTTCAAGATGAAGGGAGAAGCAAGTAGCAATGAAAAGTAGATTGCTGCCAGACAGACTGACACCATTTGTAGTTTTAACAGCTATCTCATTTGAACTACTTTGAAAATCATGTAA